CAAAGGGCCGGGGGAGACTCGGGCGCATTCCGGAGCTCTGGGAAGATCCCGCCCGCCGGCCTGCCGACCCTCCCACCCACTCCTCCGCCTGCCCCGGACCCTGGGCACGCAGGTACCTGCTGGGCCACCGGGGACTGGGGGGCGTGCGACTTGAGACCTGGCCCCTAGCGCAGGAGTTTTCCCCACGCGGTACAGCCAGCTTCCCCAAGCAGGGGAAGGCAGGTCTGGTGTTGCTCTTCACCTCTTCAAAGTGTGTGGTAGAGTTGCGGGCAGCTGAGGGTTAACCGATAAAGGACTCCCTTCCTGAGCGCTGTGGGAAATGGACCTGGGGATTAGGCTCTAACTCTGGGAAGAACGCCCTTTGGGCGGCTGGAAGGAGGGGTGGAGCGGTCTACGGCCACCAAAACTCTCTGCAACTAATTGTTTTGTCCTGAAAGTAAACTCGTGCCGCCAGCCCAGCTCCTTAATTAACTCCTGTAGGGCCATACTAGGAAAAAAGAGTTGGTCTGCACTTTTTATTGATGGCTAACTCTGGGCCTCAGTTTCCTCTACGTGCCTGCTCATTCCCAGCTTTTGTTGTTCTCACAGAATTTGAGACTGTGCACAGGACATTTTTCTGCGCGGTGCATTTTTACCTTCATGTGGTGCAGACGGTGATCTCTGGCACACTGTGGTTTTGAAAAGGAGTTACCTTTTGTTGAGACATTACCTTGCTTGATTCCCTCAACAACTCTGCAAAGCAGGTATCATTTTTCCTCATTTTACAGATGAGGAAATTGAGGCCCAGAGGTAAACTTTTCCAGGGCTTCCCAGCTAAGTGGTGAAGAAGTGCGAGACTCAAAACCCGTTCCCACTGTAGCTTGCTAAGGGTGATGGCCACTTTCTCTCACTTGGTGTCCCACACACTAAAGTTTTATTTACTTACATATTTATTTGGGATGTTGGGGATGGAACCCAGACACTCAGGCGTACTAGACAACTGTTAAATCCCCAGCCTAAGTTTTAGATGAGACTATTTTCTTAGCATGTATGTGAAACAAAAGCCAGGTATTTTTTTTTTTAACTTGACCTAATACTGTATTTGAAAACTCGCTTTGAGTGTTAATTATATTTGTGGAGTCTGAAGTGTTTCAGAAACACTTGGGTTTTGTTAAAACTGCAGATACCCAGGTTCATCAAATAGGATCTGATTTGAAGAATCAGATTCCCAAGAAAAATATCCCACAGGGTTTGTGTTTTAAAGATTTTAAAGGCTGTTCAAGAGTTTATAAATCGCGTCTGTAAAAAAAGACATGTTGACAGTTTGGGAGAATTGTTATTATTTATTTTTCTTGCTTGTAATATAAAAATTTTTGTTTTTTCATAAAGACTACTGGCTTCTGATTGATAAGTGCTTGCTGGTATTTTGTGTTTTCAATTAGTGTTGTTATGGTTTGTATCTCGATGTCCCCCCAAAGCCTCATGCGGTCATGGGTGGGAGAGGTGGCTGGATCTGGAGCCTGAGACACTGGAATTGATTCATGGTGCAGTGCTAGGCTCAAGGGCACTAGGATTAAGGCTGTGAGTGCTACCACCCTAAGTAGTCTGAGTAAGACAAAAAAGGGCAGAAAGAACACTGTTAAATTCTCTTGTTGCTTTGCTACTGTCTGCCATTAATTGTTGTCCCTCTGCCACCCTCCCTGGAGCCAACTGATTAAAGGCTGAAACCTCTATAAACTGTAAGCCAAATAAACCTTTCTCCCTTAACTTTGGGTGTCTGGGTATTTTGTCTCAGCAGTGAGAGAAAAGTAATGTAATTAATAGCACTTTGATTTCTGGGAGGAAATATTTTCCAGGGAATCTTTAAGGTTTGAAGCAAATAAATCCCTGCCTTTTCTAGTTGAAATTTTAGGCTATGGAAGCAAAATGATGCAGGATTAAGTACATAGGATTTGGATTTAAATATATTTAGGTTAGCCTGGGATTTAGCTCAGTGGTTCTGCTGCCTGCCTTGCAAGCGCAATTATCCGAGTTTGATCCCCATACCCCCACAAAAGAAATTTAGGTTGTAATTCCACAATTGCTATTATTTGCTGTAGAACGTCAGACAAGTTGGTCTGCCTCAAAGCCTGTGTTTTCTGACATATCAAGTGGGAATCATAATAGCTACTTTAAAGTTCTGATGTGAATATTGAATTAATTTAGGGATATAGTCCTAAATACCTCACATGTGGTAGGAATTCAGTAAATGTTCTCCTTTTCCAGAGTTTTCTAGTATTGTATTAAAAATTAGTTTCTTTCTCAACTTGACACTAATGAGGTTATATTTGGGACTAAGAACCTGTTGCTCATTGGGAAAGCCCTGGTTCCACCCCTGGCACTGCAATAAGTAAATTATATATGTGTTACAATTAATTTAGAATTGTAATTTAGCACTGTAATGAAATGACAGTTATGATTCCTGTGTTATTGGTGGCATGAAATTTGCCATGTACTCTACCAAAAAAAAATTCAAGAAAGATATTTTTCTTTTATGCCTCTTTGCATTTTTAGTGCTCGGGAGGCTGGGGCATGAAGATCTCTCTGAGTTCAAGGCTGGTTTGGGCTGCATAGTGAGTTCAAGACTAGTCTGGACTACACAGCAAGACCCTATCTCAAAAACAAAACAAAACAAAACAAAAAAACCCACAAAAACAAGATGAATTTTAAATTACACATTTGTGACTGCTGTACTGTGTAAGGGTTTCTGTGATGTTTTCAGACATGACATTTGGAAGCACATGATACTTGTCCTTTAGCAGTGGTGTTGATTACTGGGGTCATGGTGTCATCCATTTCTTTATATATATATATTTGGGAATATATATCTCCTAATCACCACTCAGCCCCACCAATAACACAGGAATCAGCTATTGATTTGTACCTGAACCAAATTTTACTCTATTTGGGTTGACATAAGACAGAGCCTTTTGCACCCATTTGTTTATTAATTTATGTATTATGAGTAGGAACTTATATGGATGCTTCTTTTGTTCAGTGAATTATAGTCCCTTGCTGTGTTTATTGCACTTACTTAGATACTCAAGTTGTGCCCGATCCCAGACCAGTGCTATGCTGCACCCATCCTGTGTGTGAGCACTTGCTTGATTTCTTCCACAGGATGTTTCAGGATCATCTGTAATCGTCCCTGCGTCAACCCTGAGATCAGCCATTTTTCCAAAGAACTCTGCTTCCTTTCAGTGAAGAAGGGTTTCTAGAAACCAGAATCTGGGTTGCATTCTTTTTTCAACTTTGAAAAAATTCCTAAATCCTCAGAGAAGGGGCAACGGGGAAGCTTTATGGAGAATAAAATCTGTTGTGAAAAATTAGCTCTCGTGATTTTTCTTGTAATTGTACTTAGTCTTAAGGGATTTGAAGGAAACTAGTACTGTAGTGATTGCTTGTTTCACTGTTGAATTTTTCTTGATTTTTTTTTTTTTTGAGCTCTTAATGCTCATTTTATTATTGGTACCAGGGATCAAACTTGGGACCTTGTACTTGTGAGGCAGGCGGCGCAACCACTGAGCTAAGTCCCCGGCCCTTGATGTTCATTTTAAATGAGCGCATGCTCTGCCATCTTCATAAATAATTTCTCATCCTGCGTGTGTAACAGATAATTGTAAGAGCCAATGACAACATATATATTTGTATTTATTTTTAGAACCATATAGTCTCCTGCTGAGTTTCTTTTAATTGATGAATTTCAAATTCATAGCATTTTGTATCTGTCTCCTGGGGCATATGAAGTAACAAAATCCACTGTAAGTCTTGATTAATGCTTTGATAGGGAGACTAATCAGTTTTTATATATATAAAACCATTGTAGTGACTGGAAAACGATAGGACCTACCATCACTCAGATCTCAGCTGGATGATTCCTAATTCTTGTCTTCCTCTTAGCACTATTATGTATCCCCATATACATGTATTCTTTTTAATGTGCTGTGAAGTTTTTAAATTTTCTAGCTTGTGTTCTGCAGATGGGAAACAGTTTATATCTGGTTAGGTGAAAAAACTATTCTATTTGTTGTTTGTTTGTTTTGAGACAGTCACACTATGTAGTTCAGTCTGGCCTTAAATTCACTATGTAGTCTAGGATGGTCTTGAACTTGCAGTGATCCTGCTGCCTCAGCCTCCTGAGTGCTGGGATTGCAGGCACACCTAACCATGCCTACCTGCCCAGTTGCCAAGTGAAAACAGTTCTTGATAAGGCCCTACTCCTTTTAACCCCTGTGCACAGAGCTTGCAGATACAGTACTGATTCATTCTGTTAAAACAAACCAGCTAAGGCTGGGTATGGTGGCACATTCCTGTAATCTCAACACTGGGGAGGCTGATACAGGAGGACTGGTGTGGGTTTGAGGCCATCCTGGGCTACCTACTGAGTTCAAGGCCAGCCTACTCTATAAAGTGAGACCATGTTTAAAAAAAGAAAAAAAGAGCCAGCTCCTTTGTGTGTGTTGAGGGGTGGGTAACTAGAAATTGAACCCAGAGCCTTCGAATTGAGATACATCCCTAGTCTTTTTTTAATTTTTTATTTTGAGACAGAGTCTCAGTTGCTAAATAGCCCATTCTGGACTTGAACCTGCTTTAGCCTCCCAGAGTGCTGGGATTACAAGTGTGAAACACCATGTTGGCAAGCCAGTTCCTTTTTAGGATAGACTCTCAAAATGGTATTGCATGGGTAGGAGAAGGCTCTTTGCAGGGATGACTTGCTAAGCTTCATATCTGTTTGTTTTCTGGTGGCTGATAATTGGGAGACGTTTGGTTCTCAAGGAATATTTTTTGGCCCAACCTGTTAAAGAGTCCTGCTTTCATACCCAGAGCTGCTGACCATCTCTCTTTTCTTTTATATCTGTTTGTTTTCTGGTGGCTGATAATTGGGAGACGTTTGGTTCTCAAGGAATGTTTTTTGGCCCAACCTGTTAAAGAGTCCTGCTTTCATACCCAGAGCTGCTGACCATCTCTCTTTTCTTTTCTAGAAATAACACTCCTCTCCTCACAGTCTTCATCCCTGGGGGCCCCTTCTGGGTCTGTATCCACTGAAAACCCAGAGCAGAGGATGCTGGAGAAGAGAACCAAGGTGGTAGAAGAACTTCTTCAGACAGAAAGAGACTACATCCGGGATCTAGAGATGTGCATTGAGCGGATCATGGTGCCCCTACAGCAGGCACAGGTGGGAACTATGAGAGACAGCATGATCGCAGATGTAGTCCTTCAGACCTGAAGCATGAGGATGTGGGAGCTTTTACCCCAGAAAATTATCAGGCTTGAAATAAAGGTTGTGAGTGCTGTTGCATTTCTATACTTACAAACTACATTGGTTTCATAGAAATTTTATTAAAGTGGTGGTGGAGGAAGGAGCAGAAAATATTTTGTTAGTCAGCTTTCCTTTGCTGTGACAAAATACCTGAAACAAACTTAAAGGGGCAAATGATTATTTTGGCACATGGTTTCAGAGATTTCAGTCCATGGCTGGCTGGGTCTATTGCTTTTGGGCCTGCGGCAAGGCAGACCGTCATGGTGGGAAGAGCATGGTTCAGCTAAACTGCTTGTCACATGGTTGCTGGGAAGCAAAAAGAACGAAACAAAGAGATCAGGATCCCAGTATTCCCTTCAAGGCACACCTCCAGTGACCTCACTTCCTTCCAGTAGGCCCCCACTTCTCAAAGGTTCCATCATGACCCAATAGTGCCATAGGCTGTTGGGCCTTTAACCCCTGGGCCTTTCTAAATCCAAGTAATCACATAGTTGGGTCAAGGACAAAAGGTGACATTAAAGATAGCACTGGATATTTCTACTGAAAAAACTTGGTGAAGATAAGTTTTTAAAAAATTGACTGTGGGCAATTGTTATACGATCCTTAAAGAAATAATCTAAATATCAGTGGTGTGCCCATTAATTACATATTTACATTCATTTTTTTTTCAGCTTTAATTGAGTTTATTGGTACATTTTAGGGATACAGTACAGTTACATTCATTGTTGGGATCTTGTACCTCTACATGACAGGTCTTGGTTCTCATTTTTCCCCTGTCCCTGCCCTCCCTTCACCCCCTCCTCCCCTCCCCATCTACAAACACTTTATTTCCATCTTTTCATTATCTCACATTTTTTTCTTTTTCTTTTCTTTTTTTACATTCATTTTTATGCTTGTTTCTTTCAGATACCAAACATTGATTTTGAGGGACTTTTTGGAAATATGCAGATGGTGATTAAAGTCTCAAAGCAATTATTAGCTGCCCTGGAAATCAGCGATGCTGTAGGTATGAACTGTTGCCATTTTCTCAGTGCTAGGTGGGGTGGAAGAAGGGGCCTTTCTGATCCTGAGGCTAGTCCGGGATTTTTATTTCAGAAGTTATTTGACCCTGCTTCCCCTTTTATCTCAGCCTACTTTTAGATATAAAGAATGTTAACACTAGAAATTTTAGCTGTCTTACAATACAATAGGATGTTCCCACCCACAATGTACCAAAAGAATATGGTAAAAGTGATGGTGTGTGACTTCCAACATCATGTAATAAAAGACACTGCAGCTCCTGTCCCGGATTTTATCCAGCTCTTGGCTCACGCTACGTAGCTCACAATTCACTTATGTCCATAGAGAAGTTTATATGGCAAGGAACCTAGTCTGAAGAGCTGAGTGAGCTTTCTTGAAGTGAATCCTTAAGGCCCAGAAGATGGCCGGCCAACAGCCCAGCTCAACCTCAACAAGACAACCTCAGTCAGAACCACCCACTAGCCACTAACACTCCTTGGACCAGAGTCTCCCCACAGTTTACCCAGGTGAAAATGAGGGTAAAAACAACATCAGGGTTCTGCTTTCTGAAAATAGGAAATGGCTCTGGGATATGGAGGGACAGTGTAACCATGTTAATGCTTCTTGAGTGTTTAAGATACACTACTCATCCTCTACATAGGCCATTTCCTCTAACAACCCTGTTTTATTTAGGTCTTTAAATCTTATTTTAAAGTGAGGAAACAGACTTAGAAGGAAAGAAATTTGCCCAAGTTCTCATGGCTGGCAATTAATGGAACTGACATTCAAACTCAAGTCATCATGTAAGCTCACACCATTATCCTCTGCCATACAGACTACAATTGTGGGTCTATGCCTTCTGGAATAGTAAGGGCAACTGCCCCCTGGGAGTCTTGCTGTCAGTATAACTAGAGGGACACAGAAGAAACAAACACATTGAGATGACTAGGAAGGCATGATAACTCTGCTTTAATGTAGTCATAAAGCATAAAGCCCAATTTCTAAGATTTTTTTTCAGGCACTTGAAATATGTACTTGCAGATCATTTATTTGAATCATAAGAAATGAGAGTCAGATGATATCTAAAAGGGGTTAATAAGCAAATACCTTGTAATTCTTACTATTTATTACGTGTTGTATTTGAAGCCCTTGGGAGATTTAGTCAGCCACCTTCCCCAAAGTGACTTTTTCCCTTCAGCCCCATTGGTGTCATAAATGAATCTTGGATACCAGCTGATGCTGGCGCAGATTGTTCTGGCAGCGCTTCTACAATAGACAGTGGGAATAGGCTGGCGACATTAGCCAGATGTAGTCAGGGGTCAGCTGACCTCCTGGCCAACACGGTGTCTGACCAGACATTATCTCAGAATGTGGAAAATTATTCCTCTTTCTCATACCTCTGTTCAGTCCAGGTCAGGTGACAGGTGTTTCCTTCATAAAGAGAGTTTAAGCTATATTGTCAGGATCGTCTTTGTTTTCAAGTTTATGAGAAATGTATCTGTGCTGCCATGGACTTGTCTCCTAGAAACGTCTGGTTCAGGGTGCATCATACCACTAGGGGACATAGAGCATCAGCCCTGTGAATTTTCAGGTTGGCCTCGTGGTCATCATTAGTCTTATAGTCACAATATTTCCTTTAGAGTACTTACCTGTACTTATGACAACAAAATTGGACATTAAAACAAAAATCCATATAACCTCACCCTCCTAAAATATGATTTGTGTTTATTTTTTGTTCTTCTTTTTACTTTTTTTGTCTGAAGTCAAGTGAGTTAGGGAACAGGCTGAGATGTGTTAACAGCACATGCAGAAAAAGTATTGGAGGAAGCTCAGCCTTACCTAGAGGGTAGCAGGTTGGGCAGTGATGTGCTTGAAGGAAGGCACCCCTGCACCCCTGCAGTGTACATGCTGCAGGGCCTGAGAAGGCCAAGCAAGGCAAATTAAAAGCTTTGTGAAGCCCCAGATAAAGTTGACAGGAATTACCTAAGCATTGTTTTGAAGTTTGAATTTACTTTAATATATTTTAATTTAACTCATTAATGCATTTACATAGCACAGAATTAGAAAGGTACAAAAAAAATCATTAAATGGAAAGCTACTTATTCTATGTCCCTAGCCACCTAGCTCTAACCAATGTTAGTGTCCTTGAGTCTTCTTCTGAGATAGTATGTTATATACTAACAAGTATATGTATTTTCTCTACCCTGGTTCCTCATTTCACCCTCCCCTGCTTGCTTTTGTTTTGTTTTATTTTTGTGGTGCTGGGAATTAAACACAGGCCTTTTCACATCTTAGGCAAGCGCTCTACCACTAAGTTACATCCCCAGCCCTTCGTCCAATTTTTTTTTTAACTGCGCAAATACAGCATACAGTTCAAATTGTCCTCTCCACAGTGTACCCTCTGAGCAGTTTGTGTAGTCCAAGACTGGAATTTAAGTTCTTTCCCTTTTTTTTTTTTTTGGTACCAGGGATCGAACTCAGGTCCTTGCGCTTGCGAGGCAGGCACCAGAAGCACTGAGCTAAATCCCTGGCCCTGGAATTTATGTTATTTTAAACATAATCCATAAAAACCAGTACGTTTTACATAATGGCCTATGATATGTTTTTGTGTATATGCCTGTGCTTAATTTTACTAAATTCGGTGCTTTCTGATATTTTCTTTCCTCGTTCATCAAAACAGCGATGAGTATGACTCCGGAAGTAGATTTCATGACCCACTTTAGGTTGTGTCCACAGTTTGAAAGATATTGACAGTTAAGGTGTAGCTGTGCTGGTTTGTGACATTGAAGAGCAGCGAATTGAGGAAAGTGAGTGGTAGTGAAATGAATGAATGATGAAGATTCTAAGAATGCTGGTGGGAAATGGGATAGGAAGGAAGCATGTAAGAGGAAAAGGCAGGGAAATACGGGTTTGTAAAAATAAAGATACTGGTGGCTCAGAAATTCCAAATTAGCCCAAAAGATCAAAAAGGAAGCAGCCCCATGGTGACTGTTCAGGTTTGGAGTAGACACAGAAGTGGGACTTCAGTGAGACAGGGCAGCAGGAAATAAGGCTTATGGAAACACATCACGTTCCCCTTACAGAAGGAAGCTGTAATTAAGGAAATAAATTTGACTTACGTAGAACCCAATCTGTGCAAGAATGAGTAATTCCTGAGGACACAATATTAGAACAGAGGCAACGCAGAGGAAGGGCTGGAGTTCCTGAGGGAGGGTGATATCCAGGGAATTGCAAAACAATAGTTACAGGGGAAACAGTAGGATTATGTTTCAAGAAGGAGAGTAAAGATGAGAAGCTTTCTTTTGGGGCTTGGGTGGGACCACTGCAAACTGAACATGGAAGGACCGAAAGGACAAAGGACTAGAGGAAAAATAATGTTAGTAAGTCAGGGATCATTCAGGCAGCAACTCTAAGAGAAATTGTTCTTTAGAGGTTTGCTTAGGAACCGGTTCTGGGTGCCTAATAGGCTAAAGACATGGGACTGTGAGTACATTTCATGGAGTCTATGAACTTGGAGAGGAAAAAAAAAAAAAGATTACATTTTAATTTTTAAAATTTTTTCCTAATTTCTAACTGAAATTTAACATTTATCAAAAGTACAAATATAGAGAACAAACCACAAAATATTACTTGTACCTATGGCTTCAACACAACCAAAGTCATATGTTCATATTACGTTAGGTCATTGCAGGTAAATTTTAGTAATGCTCAGCTAGAAGCAATGATACCAGTTTCTTATATCACTCATCGTACTGCGAAAATATGGTGATAATCAGGCTCATTGTTACATTTTGTTAATTAACACCTTAAAAAATTACACATGTAATTATGTCACAGATTGAGGCTATTTTGCATTAATACATTTCTTAGTACAGTATAGTGAGTTGGATTTATAGTCCTGTGCTTTTAATTTATGCACAACGAAAAAAGAAACCATACTGTAGAAGAATTTCTTCATCCATTGGCCCATTTTCCTGGAGAGTAGAGAGCAAGGGGACCTCTGTTTCTGATCACATATCCACATGGAGGGTCTTGCAAATGCCTTTCTCTGCCTAAATGAGCAGAGCTGCAGGCTCTGTTTTAGGGAGCACGGATGGGTGTGTGTATTTTGAGAAATGAATGCACAGATGACATGGTTCTCTGTATTCTACCTGAACTTATTTTAACTTCAAGTTCTTACATGAAAATTTATTGATTAGTCTCATAGTTTCTTGTAATAAGATTTAACTGATGTTAAAGTTTGACCATGTACTTTGATTTAGGATACTGAGAAGAAAGTTACTGAAAACACTGTATGTTTATGTCCATTCCAAAGGACCCGTGTTTCTTGATCACCGGGATGACCTTGAGGGAACATACAAGGTTTACTGCCAGAATCATGATGAGGCCATTTCACTGCTGGAAGTCTATGAGAAGGATGAAAAGATCCAGAAGCATCTTCAAGACTCTTTGGCAGATCTGAAGTAGGATTTTTGACCACTTCCTTTAATCAGAGCTCTTTAATCTGCCTTTTAGAAATACCTCATGTGTATGTCTAGACTTCTATGATCTCTGTCTTATTATTTTAAATGTAATTAGTTTATTATTATTCATCTGGTCATGTAACTTTCCCTGTTCCCATTATATATTATGGAAATCTTAAGAAGCTTTCTGTTTGTATTTTTGTCCATTTAAATCACTTGTATCTATAGAGATGAAATATTAAGTTAGCATTTTTTAGTTAAGCATCCAGGAAGATAGTCTGGTCCAAATAAGTAGTGCATAGGTGAGAAGAATAACAGTAATTATTCCTGACCATCAGGTGAAATTCTCCTGGTTTTGAAGAAACTAGTTATAAAGATGTAATAGGTGGATGAGTAGATTAAAATAAAGTTAGGTGCTTACTATTTGGGTGCTTTTTAGTAGATGAAATGTGTCACCATTGACATTCGTAAGTTTTTTTTATCCAGTTAGTTGTTGTCTGCCCAATATGTATGTTCTGACAATCTGAATATTAATATGTCATTCCTCTAATATGCTGTTTTATTCCCTCATGTTCCCTGTCTTGTAGGAGCCTGTACAATGAATGGTAAGTCCCCTGGCTACTTGATGTATGAGTTCATTTATTCAGTGAATTTCTCCAAGTCTTTAAAAGGCCAACTTTGTTTTCTTATAGACAGAAAGATAAACTTAGAAGATAAACTTACCCTGATCATGTGGTTTTTTTTTTTATATACCACTTACCATCAAATGACACTTTGTATATTTATTTATTGCCTGTCTCCTCCCATCAGGGCAGGGACTACGTTTAGTCACCATTAAATCCCCAGCACCTAGAATAGTACCTGGCATGTGTCAGGCCCAGTAAATAGTCATGAAACACATAACTTTTTGGTCAGTGATTGACCATTTATATAATGGTGATCCCCTAAGATATTGTAGACATCTTAATCTCTGTTGGTATACTCTGTGATGTTCACACAACAACAAAATCACCTAATAATAATGCATTTCTCAGAACATGGTCCTGTCCTTAAGTGATGCATAACTATATTTGTTGAATAAATAAAGTGTAAAAGAACATAGCTAAATTTAGAAATAACAAATAGTATCCTGAGACCTTCATTTTCAGCAACTGACTAAAGTCTTTTTTGCCTTTTCTTACAGGGGGTGCACCAATTACATTAACCTGGGCTCCTTTCTCATCAAACCTGTACAGAGAGTAATGCGTTACCCACTGTTACTAATGGAGTTGCTGAATTCCACCCCAGAACTCCATCCAGATAAAGTGCCTTTAACCAATGCAGTCCTTGCTGTCAAGGAAATCAATGTTAACATTAATGAATATAAACGTCGAAAGGATCTGGGTAAGAAAAGCATAATTGCTGAAAAGGTGGTATTCCCTGTGAGAAAGCTTTCCTGCTCAAAAGAATTACTTCACCAAAAAAGGGACAGAGCAGGTAGTAGGTATAATAGGTCTGTGATGAATGGTAGTAAAATTTGGGAAGAAAAGGGTAGTAATAATAATAAAATTACCACTCTGGGTTATTGGAAATAAGGCATCAGTGATAAAACAAGTTGCACTGTAGCAGTAAGAATCTTTCCCTTGCCAGGCATGGTGATGCATGCCTTTAGGCCCAGTACTTTAGGAGGCTGAGGTAGGAGGATTACAAGTTCAAACCTAGTCGTGCATATTTGTGACTTAGCAAGACACTATCTCAAAATAAAAAAAGGGCAGGGGATATGACTCAGTGGGAAGGGCCTGTGTTCAATACTCAGAACTGCAAAAAAAAAAATAAAATAAAATAACAATTCTCTCTACTTTCTACTTCAGTCATGTCACCTACATTTTTATGTAATGATGGTTGTAGCTTTTAGAGCTCTCTGCCATTGAGCCCTTTCTCTTGGTTCTGTCTCCTGATACCATGTTATCTTCATCGTTTCTATAATGACAAAGGGTGTTGTTAACCAGTCTTCCCTCTGCTCCCTTCTGCTATTATCTGTAGACTTTTCTGCAGATTGTGCCTAAAATATGATATAGTACTTAATTAAATGATTAACATGCAACATTTTACTGTGTAACATCAATGGATATAAAGATCTAGTAATTTATATACAAGAATTATTTATATTTGTGTATTTTGGGGCTTGAAAATATTACTTTGTACATTTTATTGAAAAGAAACATGAGGCTCCAAGAAGTAAAATGACCCATTCGTGGCCATACCTTGATGACATGACAGACCCAGGTGTTGGTCCAGGGCTTCTCCCGGGTGTTGATTTGTTCCCTCCATCTCTGTGCTACCTTTCCTCCTCAGCTCTGATCTTCTCCTGGCCCAGTCTCTGTTGTTCTTCAGGTGTTGTATCTGTTCATAACTGATTATTTGGATTGATATTTTGTGTACTCAATTATAAGCTCATTAAAGACAAGCAGTAGTTCTAGTTTGTGTTGTTAATCTAATTTTATATCCATTTTTGGAAAAACATTTATATTTTCAGGTTGTTAGCTCATATAACTCAGCCTCAGGAAAGACTGACCACTTTGACTTCCTCCCTAGTGCTCAAGTACCGAAAGGGTGATGAAGATAGCCTTATGGAGAAAATTTCCAAACTGAACATTCACTCCATCATCAAGAAATCCAACCGAGTGAGCAGTCACCTGAAGCACCTCACTGGCTTTGCTCCTCAGGTGAGATCCCTGAGCTTTGCAGGGCTGCATGGCGCAGCTGCCTGGTGCTCACTGGCAAGCCCCCCTCCTCAGTGCCTCCTCTGCTTGTGCCTGATGGTGTAAACAGGGCCTGTAGCTACGGATTATGAGCATCCACCCACCCAACCCTACATTACTGCCTTACTGAGCTGCTAATGATATATACAAAAGCAAATTAGCCTAGGTTAATTGAAATCTAATAATCATTATGGTTTTCAACACTTCTAAGGGACTTATAATCAATTTGGGGAGACAAAATCTAAAATTGTAATAATAAGCTAGAAGGGTTTTGAGAGATCATCTAGTAAGGGTACCTATGTTACAAATAAGGAAACTGAAAGGAACGAAGATGAGTGACTTGAAAAGCATTTTAGTAGCAGTGCTGAAAGCCTTGTGTCCAGACTTCATTTTACTATGTATCATGTTATCCATGATAGTGATTAGTGGAAGATACAAGCCAGTTGTTTAGTTTTACACCTTGTTCCTGAATGCCGTAGTACTTAGGAAAAGAGGAATTCAGTGTGACTGAGGTTCTTGTTGGCCTAAGAATTCATCTGAGCCTTAAAGGGAGGTGGGATGGGCTTGCTAGGAGCAGGGAAAGCCCTGGTCCGTAGATGTGGCAGTACGGGAAATGAAGAGGGAAGCCTGACCAGAGACAGGATTTATATCAGCAGCTGGGGGGAAGATGGTTTGGAGGAAGGAGGGCCATGTGTTTTGAAGGTCTTTCAAAGCCACAGAGAAGTCTAAATTCAATTCAGTCTGATTCAGGGAAACATTAAAAGTTTAAAATTTAAATAGAATATGTTTCTGATAAGGATAATTTTGCCAATAAGGTAGATGGAAGGAGTCCAAATTTGCTTACAGCATTTGTTTATTTTGAACAGATAAAGGATGAGGTATTTGAAGAAACAGAAAAGACCTTCCGGATGCAAGAAAGATTGATTAAATCTTTTATCCGAGACCTGTCCCTCTACCTCCAGCATATCCGGGTGAGTATCAACATCCTTCTAGTTAGAAAACTGTCCATTTTCCTATTCACCTAGCATATTGTTTAATGAAAGTTAAGTGGTCTGGATTCCAGTGACCATTTTGCCATGATGTACTTTTTTTCCTTTTAATTAGCGTGCTTGAATATATAATAGTTACATTCATTTTGAGGAACTGGAAAATGTATGGCTTGTGTCTAGATGTCCCCGCAAAGCCTCATGTGGTCATAGGTAGAGCTTTTCAGAGATAGCTGGATCTAGAGTGTGTGATGCTGGAATTAAGTAATTCCTAAATTAATCCACTGATTGGTTTGGCATGGTTCTGGAAGTGCATAATGGGAAGGCCCACCCTGGGTGTGGGTGGTACCACCAAAGGGCGGGAGCCTGGAAGAGAAAAAAGGGAGAGGCTGCCTGCTGCTGCTGCCGCCCAGTATTTTGCTGCTTTGCTGCCTTCCTGCCTTCTGCTGGCCATGAACTGTTTCTCCTCTGCCATGCCACCACCCCCTGGAGCCAGCCAACGATAAACTGAAACCTCTACAAACTAGAAGTCAAAATAACCTTTCCTCCTTTAACTTTGGCTGCCACATATTTTGTCTCAGCAATAAGAAAAGTTAACTAAGACTGAAAGTGATGAAGATATGATACAGACATGTGTACTTTTTATTGAGATTCCTATAGGTTACTTAAAAGTTAACCAACATTTAGTAGATCAGCACTCTGTATTATTTATAAAGTGGCCCAGTTCTTTTTTTCTGCTTTTATCACCATTCCCCCAACCCCCACATTCCTTATTTTTACTGTCTCTTTATACCCAGTTATTTAAGAAGTACCTGTCACTGTTCATTTTGCCAATATTATTTTGAAGACAAATGGTGGATATAGGGAGAGCAAGTCTTAGAGCAAGAAATAGATGAGAGAAAAGATAAGCCATAGACAAGAGTGAGAATGCTTTCTACAGGGTGTCCTAATTATTTTAACTTCTAACTCATGAAGTTGTTACACATCGGGCCCCTAAAATTGGAACTGTAAGTAGCTTCAGGGAGCTGGAGAAGCTAAGGGGATCTGGTGGGCCTCAGACAATAAGAACCAGAACTAGAGTCTTTTCTACTCTTATCTCTAGGTTCTCTCCTGATTTAATGGAATGAAGTATATATATATATATACATTCTAAGTGTATAATATCTCCATCCCTCACACATGAAAATCTGCTCTTACAAGACAAATAGTTTTCTTTAAGAAATCCTTCATCTTTTAAAAATCTTTTAGTAAAGTGGTACAGAATTTAAAAGGTACCAAGAATAAGTAAAAGGTAAAAATATTCTTCCTCCTGTTGTGCCTCCCAGTCACCTTCTACCAGGGAGTCACCACTTACCAGGTCCTTATCTCCTATCACCACAGTGTCGTGGGATTGTACTTTATCACATTTTGGAAGTAATTCCATAATCATACACAAAGAGCTGCCTCAATATTTCTACAGACGCATCATATTTAATTACATGGATGTGCTAGCATATATTTAACTAGTCCCTTGTTGAGAGGCATTTAAATTATAGTTGCAAAAGATTAGAAGATGTGTCAAGGAATATTCTTTTAAATATATCTGTTCTAGATTTTATTTTGGGGGGATATTTTTGTTGTTGGTTTGGTTGTTTTTTTTGTTTTTTGTTTTTCCTGATAGGGTCTCACTATGTAGCCCAGGCTGGCCTTGAACTCACAGTGATCTTCCTGCCTCAGCCTCCCAAGTACAGTGGACCATTGACTTAACACTCATTTCGTTCACGAGGGCTGGTTGTAACTCAAGTTGGTTAATTGAAGGCTCAGGCTCCTCTAGACAGCCTTCAAAGTCTCTCTGCTGTGTACAGACAGATCTCAGTGTCCTTAGACATTGGCCCAGGATTTCTCAACCCACATAGGAAAAGATGGTGTAGTGTTCCTTTCAGAACTCTTTAAGGATTAAATCTGTATCTGAGACCATCTGGAAGCACAAGCATCCCACATTCAGGTAATAACTCAAGACGTTGGTTATAAGTTAAAACTAAAATTCTAGTCATAACCTAAGTTGTTTGTATATCAGGCTGATCATAACTCAAGGCTCTACTGTATTGGGATACAAATGCCTAGCTTGTTATTTGTTTTCTCTGTTTTCTTAATTAGTACATATTTGCTGCACATAATGATTGCATTCATCATGGGGAGTTGGTACATGTACATGGTACATCTTAATTCTTTTTACCTCCCCTTCTTCTCCCCCATTTTCTCCCTCCATCTCTTGGTCCCCTGCCTGTTTACAAAAGATCTACCTTCCCGTTTCCCATTATTTGCCTTTTATTTTGCTCTTTCAGTGCTTTTTCCTTTTGGTTTCTCATAACAGAGAAACTATGCGATATTTAAGCTCGTGTTTCTTATTTCACTTAATATTATTGTCTCAGGTTGCATTCATTTTCCCTCAAGTGACTGAGATTTATCCTTCTCTATGGAAGAGTGGTACTCCACTGTATGTAAATATCACATTTTCTTTATCTAGTCATCTGCTGATAGATCATAGGCTGCTTCCAAGATTTAGCTATTATGTGTTGCGCAAATACTAGATTTTCTGAATCAAATTGCATGGCAGTATGAATTTTGACAGAAATTGTTAAGTTTTATAGGAAGGCCTTTTCTATCCCAAGATAAAAAATTACTCCATGCGTTAGTTCTTTTATTGCTTTAGGTTTTAATCGGTCATTTCTTTAGCTGAAATTTAGATTACAAGATTTGAGGTAGCCATGCAACTTTGTTTTTTTCCAACTGGTTAAAATTCCCTTTAAATTTCTTTGTGTCTTGCCTAAGTGTTTTCTCATTTTAATTTTTGTTGTTGGGTTGTCCTTGGTTTAATTCCTGGGTTATTACTTAAATCTGCCCTATATAGTTGCACTTTAGCTTTTTTGAATCTCTAATGACTCATAGACATTCTCATTTTCATAATATCAGAAGACAGCTCATTAAATCATTCATAACCCTTTAGCCCAATTGATACAATCAGCAACACAATAGGATCAAGCACAACTTACAAATCGACCATTTGTGGTAGTCATTAATCTATAATCTTTAAACCATGTGAATTAAATTAAAATCAAGAAGCAGCCCAAAATATATTTGCAGTGAATAAACTCTTCAATATAGCATCTTTGCAATTTAGGATGGGGACTTAGACAGTTAGGATGAGAGGAGTAGATAAGGAAAATAATCGGAGAAGGTTTCAAGTGAAGCCAGAGGACATAGGATGACCATACAATCTTTAGTTAACTGTTAAAGTCAAAAGGGAAAGACAGAGTGCAAGAATAAGGACAAGAATATAACAACAGTAATAGGGGCTCACTTTCCTTTGAAACTATTGACTCTTGAGTGAAGGAAAATGAGAGAAGAAAAGATCAAGAAAAAAGAAAAAATGATAAAAGAAGAAATCAAGTTAGGGCAGGAATAGGAATAGAAAGGGAAATGAGGAATAATATGGGGGAGCAAGAGACTGAGTTGGAAAAAGAGGACAGAAAAAAGAAAGAATTTGCAGAGTGGCATGAGGAAAAGAAAGAAGAGAAAGAATTTGAAGGGCCTCTTTCAGGCTACATCTCTGCTGTCATAATGTACAATGTGTGCAGCCATGTGCAGAACTAAGTCCTTTGATTTCAGCTAGTTGATGGCAGATCCCTGAGATTGAGGCTGATTTCGGGCCACAAGGCCCAAATTGATCTCTCTGACGTCCTGCAGGGCCAGCGCGAGAAGGGCCTCTGAGCGGCTGTCCGGGACCTCCACTTTCCACCTCCTGCTGGATTCTGGTCACGGCGCAGGCCTACATTTCTTACAAATAACGAACTCTCTTCTTTCATGTTTTAAAAATATAATTAGGTTGGGCTGGGGATTTAGCTCAGTGGCACTGCGCCTCCTTTGCAAGCGCAAGGTCTTGAGTTTGATCCCCAGTACACCCCCCCAAAAAAATGTAATTAAGTTGAAGATAGGTTTTATAAAACTTCTGGAACACATTAGCTTTAAGCTAATTGTTTTAAGCTCATTTTAAATGAGAAATTTGACAAAAACTAAACAAAACAAAAGAAATAACCCTGGGGCAACTACCAATTAAGTTCCCATTCCTGTTCTCTAGACTTTCCCCTAATTTTGATACCCCTGCAATGATTGTTTTCTGAATGTATAGCCAATATATGCCCGAACACCCCCTTGGGAATGCTCTTCTCCACAGCCGTGGATGTTGAGATTTAAAATGATGACACTGACAGTCATTTGATGGAGACCACTGACAGTAGAAATTGAGAGAAAATAGAACAAGTTTGTCACTGACATAAAATGAAAAGCCCTGACAAATAATAACTTTAGATGGATTGAGAGAAAGTCGGCAAGAACAAAAATAGAGGTTTCTGGCCATATAATTTGATATCTACACTACTAAAAGGACTGATATTTTGGAATGTCACAATATTTCTCTTAAATCATCATGCTTCTCATTAGTTCTCTATTCAAGAGGAATTAGAGTCTCTAGTTATCCTTCTGAAAAAGAACACTGTATTTGTATAAATATTGGGGCCTGAAAGACAAAAGATCTAAAATATCTTGTAAAATACCAAACAAATGTATGAAACCCTGATGGTTTTTACTAAAGGATTTTTAATTATTCTTGAAATACTTATGGAGTTTTTAGTATGTTTAGATTTTATTTGATTTGATACCAATGTAATAGGCTTTTCCCATGGTCAAATAAGCCCAAAGCCCAGCCTTGTGTCAAATAGCCAAAGAAAACCAGCCTGGGTCTCAGAACTGTCACAACCAACCAGGAGTTGTTTCCTGTTCAGTCATTCATTGATTCACTAAGCAATCACTGGGTCAGTGTCAAAACACAACTCTCTGCCCTCCTGGAGCTCACCATGTACTGGGGTTGGCAAGGAGACAGGGGCAATAAACAAGAATCAGCAAATTGTCCTGTGCTAGAAGATACTTTTTGCAGTGGCAGAGAGAAGCAGAGCAGGACAGGAGCCTCACAGGCGGCAGAGTGGAGAAGCAGGACTGAGATTGTCAAGGAGCCTGAGAAGATGATAGCAGGAGCCCAGACACGAGAAGGGAAAAGGAAGGTGATTGGTCATCGTAATTTTGCAGGTTCATCTTGGTTTTAATTTGATTTACTTTTTGGTAAATTAAGAAATCCTGTTTTATAGGAGGCAAAGAGGAATAGTCATGAGATCATAAAAGCCCTCACCAGCTTTTCTATAACTAAAAATTTTAGCCTTTCACTTTGCCTCGTACATCACTTTATAAGATATTTTTTCAAAGCTGAAATATTTCACTAGAGAGGAAAAATGACACAATTTCTTTGCAGACTGCTCCATGGGTTGAATAAGGAAGTGTGTTCTCACTTGTGTGTTTCTCATCTGCTTCAGGAATCAGCGTGTGTGAAAGTGGTGGCTGCTGCAAGCATGTGGGACCTGTGCATGGAGAGGGGACACCGTGACCTGGAGCAGTTTGAGAAGGTGCATCGTTACATTAGTGACCAGCTCTTCACAAATTTTGTGAGTGATTCCATGTGCAGCTCACTTTTCATAGCTTGGCCCCTTCCCAGGGTCACCTCTAATGGCAGCTCATTCCAAAGTTAATTCCACAGAGAACAGAAGCACAGCGCGTCCTTTAATTATGTTTATATCAGGGCTTATATTCCAACATGACTTTCAAATAGAGGGACAGGTAGGGTGTGAATATATTCAATGTATGCTTTTTTCATTAAGTTTATTGGTACTTTTAAAGTATACAGTACAGTTAAATTTGTCATTGAGTCTATTGGTACTTTTTAGGTGTATAGTACAGTTGCATTTATCATTTGGATCTTGTACCTTTACGTGACAGACCTTGGTTCTTATTTTTTTCCCATTTCCCTGCCCTCCCGTCATCCCCTCCACCCTTCCCTAATTACAAAGACTTTGTGTCCATTTTTTACTTTTCTCATATTTTTTCCCTTTTTTCCTTTCCCCTACCCTTTACACTTCCTCTACTCCTTTAGAGCTTTTCTTCCTATTTCACTTTATCAATTATATATGAACCTTATTTACACTTTTATTCACATCAGAGAAACTATTTGGTATTTACACATGTGAGTCCTCTTTATTTCACTTAAGAGTGTGGCCTCAATGTGCATCCATTTAGCTATAAGTGTCTCTAGTTTCTCGTTCTTTATGGCTGAGTAGTACTCCATTTGGATTTTTAAAAATAGTTTGTAATCAGCTTAGTTTCAAAGGTCAAACTAGGGAGGGAAAACTAGAAAATTAATTTCCCATCACTATTGATAATGCTGATATTTTTTCTAAATACTCTTTTTAAGTGTTACCAAGTAGATTTTTATAAAGTAAAAACTACTTCATATAGAAAGTACTAAAGGAAAAATTGGTTAGAAACTTCTGGGTAGTTATATATGTGATTGTTTAATTGCAAATAGAATTAGGTAGAAACTGATAGTTTCTTAGAACTTCCTGCGTGGTTTAAGGCTATAGCAGATATATAAACACACACACACACACACACACACACACACACACACACACACACACATTTAGGGGAACTTCCAAGTATTCAAACAATAAATTCTTTTTAAAAAGATACTACTAAGCTTAGGAGGCTGAGATGGTAAAATCGCTGTAAGTTTGAGGCCAGCCTGTGCTACACAGTGAATTCAAGGCTAGCCTGAACAACTTAATGAGACCCTGTCTCAAAAGTAAAACAAAACTAAAACAAAGATGTTACTAAGTGTTTAATTATATGTTCAAACCCTACTCTCAAAACCTGGCTTGTTTTTGTTTCTGAGACAGGTCTCACTATGTAGATCAGGCTAGCCTCAAATTCTTGATCCTCCTGCCTCAGCTAACCAAGAGCTGGATTACTGGCACGTGCCGTCATGCCTGGCTTATCTGTTCTTATAAGAAGAATGAAGGAGAAATTTTTTTTGAAAAGATAAAACAAACCTTACCAAATTAATGATTAGAAATATTTATTATAGGTGGATGAAAGTTATTCCATTCCAGAGTTATGTAACAGCTGAATCTGAACGAATTCAAGGTGTACAGGGATGGGGATGTAGCTCAGTGGTAGAGCGTTTACATAGGGCCCTGGGTCCAATTCCAAACACCACGCACACACACACACAAGCTCAAGTAAGTGGTACCGAGTCTATCACATCTGGTTTCTCATACAAATATCTATGTACAACTTAACATTTATCAACGAAGAAGAAAAAGAAGGGCTAGCATATTTTGCACATGCTGTGGTGTGTGAATGGTTAAATGAAGTATGTGCAGAGCTGTTTTGTGGGTGTCGATCGAGTACATCTGAGGCTCTTTATGGGGCCATCCTGTGTACTAGGAGCAAAGCAGTTGGTATAAGACAACCAGATTAGACTTATGAGTGTTTTTGGAGACTCGGAAAGATGAGATGCTGACCAGCTGATCAGTGTGACTTTCTCATTCCTGCAGAAAGAGAGGACAGAGCGTCTTGTGATCTCTCCCTTAAATCAGTTGCTGAGCATGTTTACAGGACCCCACAAGCTGGTGCAGAAGCGTTTTGACAAGCTCCTCGACTTCTACAACTGCACAGAACGAGCAGAGAAGTTGAAGGACAAGAAAACCCTAGAAGAGCTGCAGTCAGCCCGGAACAACTATGAGGCTCTGAATGCACAGCTGGTAGATGAGCTGCCCAAGTTTCAGCAGTCTGCACAGGGACTCTTTGCCAACTGCGTCCATGGCTATGCTGAAGCCCATTGCGACTTTGTGCAGCAGGCCCTGGAGCAGTTGCAGCCGCTGCTTTCGGTGAGTCGCTTACTGCTCTGGGGGAAGTCATCTCTGAAGGTGTCTTGGTCTTTTTCTAGGACCACAGTGGGGTTGTGTGAGAAATTATCTGAAGTAGAGAGATTAAATGTGTCATTGGGTCCCATCAAGAATTCTTGATCCTTTGGTAGTGGCAGGAAGCCTGGGGCTTTTGAAATGTCCCCTCCCATCTTGCACAACTCCCAGCAGAGCCGGGCCGTGTGGCCTGTGGGCAGTGTTGCCAAGAGCACCATTTCTCCTGCACCGATCGCAGTGTGCGTGGCTTGCATAGTGCTGCTGTGGCTGGACTTTAACATCCAGTTGGTTCTACAGAGACTGTCAGACTTTCATCCATTGTTTTTCTTCTTTCCTCCATCTTGGCTCTTCCCCTGGACTCCAGTTACTCAAAGTCACAGGCAAAGAGGGAAACCTGATTGCCATCTTCCATGAAGAGCACACCAGGGTTCTGCAGCAACTCCAGGTCTTCGCTTTCTTCCCCGAGTCTCTTCCAGCTGCCAAGAAACCGTTTGAGAGGAAGACCACAGACCGCCAGTCTGCACGGAAGCCCCTCCTGGGCCTGGTGAGCAGGACTGAGAAGGGTAGCACGGCCTGGGGTTAAGAGTGTGTGAATTTGACCTGGGCCATCTGGGCTCAGGTCCCAGGACAGACACTTACCGCCTTGTTTTGAACATGTCGCTTCACTTCTGGGTCCTGGTTCCTGATCTTTAAGACACAGATGATAATTTTACCTACATCATAGAGTAATTACAAAGCTTTACTGGATTAAAGTTTGGAAGGCACCGTGAATTTCCTGAGCCAGAGTAAGCACTAGACAACTAAGTACTGTCGTCAGTGGTTACTGGGTCTCCTCCATCACAGGCTCCTCCTCTAAGGGTTTGGCATTTCCTGAGCATCGCTCTGTACTTACTGGTGCCTGATAGTGACTGCCGATAGTTTTCCTACCTTGTTAGGGACTTCAGGCTGTCCTCTGAAATCATTCTTGGATCCTTGTAAAGTATTAATATGAATATCTTGATTACTTAATTAAGGAAACTGATTTAAGGGTATATTAATGCTTACAGGCCTGCCTATTTTTGATTGTGGGTTAGAAAAGTTGATAGAGCCAGTTTATCATTAACTGCTTTTTTAAATCTGGAATTATTTTCTTTTTGAACTCAGTTCTTCCATCCTTTAAAAATCGGGGTACAATACAACAGATTATATGGGCTAATAATCTCAAAAATTGCTAATATGCCTTTGCTTATTTTGGTCCACATAATCCCATGGACATTTATAATACCCTAATGAGAAATACTAAAATTAATATCTTTTTCCTATTTTTATTTATTGTTTTATAAATGGGGAAGTCAGGGTAGAAAAAGTCTTAATTGTTTAGGTTTGTCTATCAAAATATAAGAAGTTGTGGTGAGCTGAGTGCCAGGGCATCTCCCTGTACCCTCAGCCCTCTGGGAGACTGAGGCAGCGAGATTGCTACTTTGAGCCTAGTTTGGGCAACTTAGTGAGATCTTGTTTTGAAATAAAAAATAAAGGGCTGGGGATATAACTCAGTAGGAATACCTATATTCAATTCCCAGTACCCCGCTGCCCAGACATACACACACTTAGTAGTATTACATAGATATTTTGATTTATTTTTATTTTTTAAAATCTTGATGCCAAGGATTGAACACAGCACCTCATGCACATGTCCTAACCCAGCCCCAATAGTGTGATTCTTTAGGTAGCATTTTAATCACAGTTTGTCACAAATAAATATGTGTTGAGTTTCTGTATAGCTAAAAAGGCACATTTCTGAGGCTACCAAGATTTTTACCTAGCCAAACGGTAACTCACAGAAGCACCTGAGGGGGAAGCGAGTAGCTATCAGTGCCTCACTTCTGAGACTCTGACCGAGGCAAGATTAAGTACAAGTAGCCTACAAGTGGCTGCTGTGATTATCGCCAGGCAGAGTTCAGGTTGATGGTGCTTTTTTGTGTTAACTTTTCAGCCAAGTTACATGCTGCAATCTGAAGAGCTGCGGGCCTCGCTGCTGGCACGATATCCCCCTGATAAACTCTTCCAAGCAGAACGGAATTTCAATGCTGCTCAAGACTTGGATGTCTCACTTTTAGAAGGTGACCTGGTGGGTGTCATCAAAAAGAAAGACCCCATGGGCAGTCAGAACCGCTGGCTGATTGACAATGGAGGTAAGAGTTTTAGGTGTCGGATGAATGTAATTCTAAATGAGGAAAAAGTGGACCTTTATCTGCATCCTGGTTAGGCCAGCAAAAAACATGAGAGCCTTTGTTTAGAGGGAAAAATAACCCTAAAAGTTCTATTCATCTTCAGAGAGTGTAATGCCCAGATCATTATGGAAACAAAACTCTTTGGTTGTGATTTTCTTTCTTTTTTTTCTTTTTTCTTTGGTTGTATTTTTGTTTTGACAAATTCCAGAGAAGATTCCATTACTTATCTCATAAGATCTTGCCGTGCTTTATAGCTTATCCAGACAGTAAATACTGCTAATGGAATCCTGTTTCTTCTCAACCCATTCTGAGTAAGCCACAAAATAAGCTTGCCCTCTAGTTTTTATAAACTTGTCTTATATGTGTATAAATTTTAAAACTTAGTTTTTGTTTGCATTAATTTTCCCCCTATATCAAACTATTTTACCTCATGACTGTTTAGGGAATGTCTTTAAAATCTAGCTTACAGCTTCTAGGGTAGGTAAGATTTACAGAATTTAAAGAAAAGCACAAAAAAATAATAATAATAATCTAAATCCTTTTTGCTACCATTCCAAAATCCAAAAGGCTTTGACAAATTTTTTTTCCTATCTTTTTACTAAAACTTGAACAAAGTAATGCAACACCATTTATAATCATAACTTTCCTTCTTTTGGTGTGAGTGCTCATGCATTTTGCTGAGTGAGGTTCGATTATGGTATGCTGACCCAGAACCCGGTGAAGGGTGTTAGGAAACCTATATTCTTTACTACCTTCCCCAAATAAAACAAACAAACAAACCAAAAAACTGAATCCCAAAACACATTTGATCTAAGTGTTTTAGATAAGAATTTGGGGACTATACAATAAACATCTCTGTTGCCACCAACTGGAACTGAAAATTAGTACTTTTTAAAATTTCCTCAAAAGCATTTTGTTCTTTGTTATTTTTCTTATTCTCCTTTCCTCACTTCTGCTTATTTTAAATAATAAAGACCAGGATGGGAAAGGAAAGAGCCGGTCAGGGAGACAGGCAGGTGTCAGTCACTGATGGGATCAGACTGATGATGGACTCTATAAAATCCCATTCTATAGAAAGAGGTACTGTGTCCTCGGGATTTTTAAATCAATCCTGGGAAGTAAAGTGGTAGCAGGAAGCACGCAATATTAGAATCTGTGGACTCCAGAGGCCTCCTGTCCGTTCATTCAGATACAGAGGGAGTATCCTCCTGCAAGCCAGCATTTGTTCGGGTACCAGAAGTGCATCAAAGATCAAGCAAAAATGAGGTTGGATAAGAGGTACCTAAATATAGTTAGGAATAAATTCTAGTTTCTACAGCAAAGTTAAAAGATGATATATTTCTTGAGAACAAGAAGTTGAAAATTTCAAACAAAAAAATAAGGAGATAGAAATGTGAATTACCGTGATGTAGTTCATATTGTATACATGCATTGAATATACCCCCTTAAATATTTACAATTGTTGCATATTAGAACAGTAACAATTTGAGACAGCGATAGAGACCTTTTCCTGTAAATATGACTCTAGAGTTCCTGTCATGCCCAAATATGGCCTGCCATGCAGAGGACATGAGAGAACTCTTCTGTCCTAGAGACCTAAAATTCCTTCAGTAGCAGAATACTGGGACTAAAGCAATATTAAATTTAACTCCAAGAGAGATGACCATTGTTCTCATGGAGGCTGCATAATCAGGATTTATTCTTGGGCAGATTTCTCTTCACATAATAAAAAAACAAAACAGAGTTCTGTGGATACATCTCAATTCCTAACCAAGGGCCTTATGTCATCAGTTTAGGCGGTGAGCCTGTGCCGTATGTGTCCTGTATGTCGTGGAACTCATGGCTCTCTGCATTAGGTGCTCACGGTGTTCGCGGCTCCTTACCCAAAGGAGGGTTGTGGTACTGTAGAAGGCGGGGAGGCAGGATACCTGTCTGAGGGGTTCCTCGACACAGGGGTGGACTTCAATTCTCTCTTCGTCACATGTGGTGTGTTTGAGCCTATACTTGGCTGAGTTTCTCCTTAGAGAAACTGGAAGTCCCGTTCAGTTTTCTGTGTATGCCCATTTCCAAACAAGTGTCAGTTTGTCTCTCAACACTGGTTTTTCTGTTGATTCTCGACCTCTTACTTCTCCCCCTTGTGCTACAAGCTCTTAATGTCAGTATCTCCTTCTGCAGTTACCAAAGGCTTTGTGTACAGCTCCTTCCTAAAACCGTACAATCCACGCCACAGCCACTCTGATGCCTCTGTGGGCAGCCACTCCTCCACTGAATCAGAGCACAGCAGCTCCTCCCCCAGATTCCTGAGACAAAACAGCAACAGCACCTTGACCTTCAGTCCCAGCAGCATGGCTGTGTCCTTTACCTCAGCTGCTTGCCCAAAGCAGCCTCAAGATACACCTTCATTGAAAGAATGTGACCAAGGAACTCTTGGTGCATCCTCGAACCTGGGTGGTCCAGAGAGTGGACCTTCTAGGTCCTCACCAGACCCAGACTGTACCTTCCAGCCCGGACCGAGGGACTCCGTAGATTTGGGCAGTACAAGGGGCTACCACCGAAGCACCAGGCATTCGGAGGTTGTCGGTTACTCTGTACCGGGACGAAATGGACAAGGCAAAGACCTCATAAAAGGATGTTCAACAGCAAGCCAGGCTCTGGAAGACAAAAACAAAGAGCCAGAAAACAGTGAGGCAGAAGGCAGTCAGGTAAGTGCTCCCCTGGCTTACCATTGTGGCCCAGAGGGGCGGGCAGTATGTTTTGGGTACAGGATCAGGCAAGGCAGAGGCTTGCCCAGCACCTGGGCATTTTCTGGAGGTGAGTGCACAGAGGAAGGCCCCTGCTGTCCCTGTGAGCATCTTTGGGACTCCTATGACTGAGCCTTCCCAGGATATCACTTGACACCACCTACTTAGTCAGTGGGATTTAAGAGACGTCATGATGAAACTTTTCCACACCTCTAGTTCACTAAGTCTTCCAGCATACAAAATCTGCTATGTAATCCACATATTTAGTTTTTTAGGCAAATGTCTATATTTTTATTTCTAGAATTTAGAAATGAAATTTTGGTTCTACTTCAGTTCCTCCTGTTCTTTTTTTTTTTTTTTCCTTTTTGGTCTTTTGAGACAGGGTCTCACTATGTAGTTGAGACTGATCTGGACCTCACTATGTAGCCCATACTGGTCTCGAACTCACAGCGATCCTCCTGCCTCAGCCTCCTGAGTGCTGGGATTACAGGTGTGTACCACCATGCCTGGCTTGTTAGTTAACCTTTATATCTTGCACATTTTAAATCCACTTTTTTGTTTTGTGGTCCTGAAGATTGAACCTATGACTTCATGTATGCTGAGCAGGTGTTCTGCCACTGAGCTCCATCCCGAGCCGCCTTCCCCCTCTTTTTTCCCACTGAGTTGCCCAGGCTGGTCTCAAACTTTCAGACCTCCTGGCTTAGTCTCCTCAGAAGCTGGGATTATAGTCAGGCTCTACCATACCCAGCTTTAACCCACATATTTTAAACTCATTTGCCAAGTCTCTGCTCCACTCCTTTGCTGCCAGTCCCATCCCAGGTTGTGGAGGCCTTGGTTCTGCTAGACTGAATTCCAGGGGCTGATTCTCACCATTTCTCGGCCCACACTTTCCATACCGTACCCCTTCGTGCCACAGCTCGGCGTGCTGCCTTCTTCCTGATGGTTGTGTGTACACCTTTTGTAGACACATGGACGAAGGGAATGGACCTTCCCTAGGTTCTGATTTGGGATCGGCAACACATTGTATCCTCGTGGACTCCTGAGCCTGACCAGGTCCTCAAACCCTACGCATCAGATGTGTATCTGCCCTCATGGAAGGCCGCTCCAAAACCCCTCATGCCTCTCCTCTCACTCAGCACCACCCTCACTTTGCTTTAGATTTTCATTTCTTGCTTGGAAATTAATTATGGATTTTTAGGGGCTTTTAAAAGTTGAGTTTTGCATCTCTCTCTCTCTTCCCCCTCCCTCTCCCTATCTCTGTCCCTTCCTTTCTCTCTGTCCCTCCCCACCCCTCCTCTTACCTCGTGTTTGCCTAGGCAAGCATTCTACCATTGGGTTACCACCCACAGCTCTGGTTCCACATTTCTGGGTGGGATATAGAATTGGCCACAGGAGGGCACCCTCATAAATCAGTCATCTTCTTTTTTTTTTTTTTTGGTACCGGCGATCGAACTCAGGTCCTTGTGTTTGCAAGGCAGGCAGCGGAACCACTGAGCTAAATCCCCGGCCCTCATCTTCCATACCGACTAGGGCTTCAAGGCATTTTTGAAAGAACTGAAAAGTGAATTTTGGTTTTCTTTGAACCTGCCTTGTGCACTGAGGGTCCTCCAGCCACATAGAGTGATTTAAACTTTAGTTAAAAAATAAATAAGATTAAAATTTCAGTTCTTGGGTCACTAGCTATATCCAGACATAGAATATTCACATCACTACAGAAAGTTTTGTTGGACAGCATTGCTCCAAGCAGTTTCCTAACTCTCCCTCTCTCCCTCACACAGGTCTATTTTGCTGTTTATACCTTCAAGGCACGAAACCCAAATGAGCTGAGTGTGTCAGCCAATCAGAGACTCAAGATCCTCGAGTTTAAAGATGTTACCGGCAACACAGAATGGTGGTTAGCTGAAGTTAATGGGAAGAAGGGCTACGTCCCATCCAATTATATCCGCAAAACTGAGTACACCTGAGCCTGTGGCGCCTCCTCCCAACCTTGCTGCCTTTGCTTTCAGTCTGCTGAAAGGTTCTGGTGGGCCGCTGAGTGGCACCTGCTCTTGAAGCCCAGGCCCTGCTGCACTGCTTAACATTACTGGTGGAGAACAAGACACCCTTTGTTCTTCTCCGCCGAGTTATACATCTCAATGCTCCCTAGAATTTTAAGTGGACCCTGGGGCTTGCAAATGATTCCGTGACTACGAGACGAGAGGCAATTGCTTGGTCAGCTTTTGGAAATGAGAAATTTCCTGTGGGAACACCAGTATTCTGTGTCTGCAGGAAGCTGTACTAGCATCATTTGTGTCATACGGAGTCTGGGGCGGCCCCACACTCCAGGCCCAGCTGGTCAGAAGCTCACTTGGATGGGGCTCTGAGGGTCCAGGTGGTAATATTTTGGCATGTGGTGAAGAATTTGCTAGGATGGCACCAAACCCAGTGTTTCAAAGCTTCTGAGATACCTCTAGTGTCCTGCACACATTTCTTTTCTCACACCTAATTGCTAAAGTCCCTAAAACACTAATCTTTTCTATCTATTTCACTGTATTCAGCTGCTTCTTCTGCTAAGAAGCAATTAGGGTTTTTATTTTCTTTTGATCTTTTATCTGAAAAGTTCTCTTTCCTTTTTAGATACAGCCATCTACTCTTTCTGACAGTCGCCTCTACTTTATACAGTGAGTGTGATGTCTATTGACCCTTTCGCTGTGCTCAGTGATGGATAGATTTTCCTAGAATAATGGGATCGGAGTTCCAGCCTCCATTAAAAGCACTCGATCTGCACTAATCCCTAACCAGTAAAGCCTAACCAAGGGCTGCATGCCTTCCCTGTCCCTTCACACTACTGCCGTTTAGTCACATGCACAGGTGCAGAAAACACAACCCATGTGACTTATTTCAGTAAAGCGGTTCCAGAAGTAGTTCCTAGACTAGGAAATAAGATTTTCCATTTCACTACTAACCTCCACGCTTCAGAGACAGTTTTCAAAGCCAGACGGATTCCAAAGTGCCTAACAAGAACTCCCATTGATCACAGGAAGATATTTGCTGACCCTTTAGAATCTGCCTCTAAAAATTTGGTCTTAGCAGGGCTCCTGAACGTAAGATCTTTAGAAGCTATGAAGCCTGCCTTATAATGGGTAACTATGAAGTTTGTCTTTTAGAGGAATTAACGGCTGCACAGCCCCTGCTTCTCTGCTTGCACATTTGGCCTTAAGATCCTGGTGACCCAGGAGACACCTGTGAACACCTCATCTTGTGTCCCTGCCAGTGGTCACAGGCAGTGATTCTAGGTCTCTTGTGAAGAGTGTTTATATTTAGAGATGTTTATATTTTAGTTATTTTATAAATAAAATCATTTCCACTGGCCACGAGTATGTTTTCTTGATTCTCCTCCAGGTTCGGGTGAACCTGAACATTTTCCTCAGGTGCCTCTCATGCCTTCTTGCCAGTTCAGTGCTACGCTGAATCCTGTGGGAATGGAAAAGGCTGACTAAATAAACTTGGGTCTCCATTTTTCTTGCCAAATATTTAGCATATCCTGCATATTTAAGATGTCTGTGCTGCAGGTGATTGCCCGTTTATTTAAAGATGCCTTGTAAAATAAATTCCTAGCTGGATAGAAGAGGTCAAATCTCCAGTTGAATTCCTAAGGCAAAAGATTTTTCCCAACATTTCTGGTGTGGAAACTGATAGCACTAGAGATGAACAAGGTCACGGAGCAGCAATTTGAGCGAGGTGTAGTGGCAGAGGGAGGGTTATAGACTATGTGGGTGATCGCAACGCAGTTACCTCATATTATTAAAGAACAGAAAGTGAGATTGCATCATCCAGCTATGGGAAAGAAGCTTACAGGTCATCTGGGCCACTCTCATTTTATGAACTAAGAAAATGGAGTCCAGTGACATTCTAACTTGCTTAAGTCGTACGTGAAGGTCCTCATGGGTTGTGAATGATCTTAAATGAGGGTGTGCAAGCTTTCTAGCTCTTTATACTCTATTCTGGAGCCTAGGTGGCTTTAGACACTTAACAACTTTTGATTCTGACGATGAGTTGTCTGACCTATGCCTCAGTTTCATCCAAAGTAGAGGTAGTAATTCTGTCCACCTCAAGGTTATTCTAAGTACTGGATGAGTCAGTACGTGCAGATTGCTAGGACAGGACAACAGAATGGTGGGATGGACTTTTCAGCACCCATCCACCATAGAAATATCAGTGCTACTCTGCATGAAAATGGACTCAGGTTAGATGTCATAGACCTGGCTATAGAAAGAAAAGATACCGAAGAGTCAACATCACTCCCACAGCATCCCTACGCCCCCCCCCACCCCAGCATCCACCATCAGATTTCCCTCCCAGCTCTACAGACCTGGATCAAAGTAGATGTAGGAAAGCAAGCAATAAGGTCTGAGCCACTTTTGAGTTTTTTCTAGGTTTGAACTTCTTTGTGGATCAAAAACCTCTTGTCTGCTGGGCATGGTGGCGCACAACTCTAATCCCAGCACTCAGGAGGCTGACACAGGAGGATCGCTGTGAGTTGCAGACCAGCCTGGGCTACAGAGTTGAGTTCCAGAGCTGTCTGAACTGCATAGTGAGACCCTGTCTCAACAAAAAAACAAAACAAAACAAAAAAAAAAACCCTCGTCTTAAAACATAAAACTTGGGCTAGGGGTTCAGCTCAGTGGCATCACACTTGCCTTGCAAGGGCAAGGTCCTGAGTTCAATCCCAGTATCACCAAAAAGAAGAAGAAAGAAAAACCACAAAACTTGCCTCAGGCTGTTGAAGAATAACAGACCTTTCCTGAAGATTTCTTGGGAACATGGAAGGAGAGGATAACCTCACACACCACAAAGCAAAACATCCTGCAAAACTTCCTTCAAACATCTCAACCCAAAATTTCACCTTCTGAATCTCCCCCTTCTTTGATTTCAGAATCCCTGTCCACTAAGTTCCTACATGGGCTTTCCTCCTCGATTCCCCTCACTCTTATTCTCCCTTGCTTTGGGTCAGTTTAGTTTCTTACATTGCTATCTGCCTAGTTATCCATGAATCAGCACAACAGGACAAAGGTCTAAGGCCCAAGCAGTTGCAAACAAAAGACTCTCCAAATGAGAGAGGCATGATTATATAAAGTTATATCTATTCTGTACAACTAAAAGATGATGCCAACATTTCTTGCTTCCATGGGCCACCCATGACACACAATGTTAGTCCTCAAGAGGTTCTAAAAGATTTATATGATCGGGCACTCAAGGCTGTGTCAAAAATCACATCTTCCACTCATTAAGCAGACACTGAATTATCCTGTCATCCCCAACAGTGCTACAAGAGATGTAGCAATGACAAGAGTAATGCTCAGAGGTTAAGAAATTTGGCCAAGTTTTCTCAGATAGGAATAGCAAAAGCCAGATTTAAATCTACACTCCAAGAAACATCAATTTTAACAACTCTCCACACATAAAAATACCTTCATAGGAGCAGAGGAAACCAAGTGTGATGGCTGATCTTGTCATCTTGGGTAAAAAATGCCCAACTAGGCTGGAGATTTAGCTCACTGGTTCCACCACCTGCCTTGCAAGCACAAGGTCCTGAGTTTTATCCCCAGCACAAAAAAAAAAAAAAAAAAAAAAAAAAAAAAAAAAAAAAAAGAAAGAAAGAAATGCCCAACTAAATTGACATAGCATAGTTCTGGGTGTGGAAGACCCCACCCGAGGGAGGATTATCACCAGAATGGTGTAAAGGAAAACAAAGGATTGCTTCTGTTTCCTTGGAGGAGCTCCAGTCTTTGCCTTCACTTTAGACATCATCTGCCTCCTAGTGCACTCTGCAGCCTCCCAGTGCAGACTCTTCGGCCTCCGGCCCTGACCCTTCAGACTCCCATTGCAGGCCCTTTGGCTTCCTGATAAAGACTCGTGAGCTCCTGGAGTACTGGATCCTTCGGATAACCGGTGCACAGACAGAACTTTTGCACTCTTCCACCCCTGACTGGGCAGCTATTGTAAGCTAAACTTGTACATTCTGATATATTTGTGTGCATTGTATTAAATCTGTTTCTCTAGTAAGTCCTGACAAATACACCAAGTGAGAGTTTACAGCAGCTGGGGGTAGCACAGAAATAAGAAAAGATGGATTGAGAAGGATAGAAAGGACAATTTTAGAGCTGGGAATTTAGCTTGCTGGTGCCGCTGCCTGCCTTGCAAGTGCAAGGTCCTGGGTTCGATCCCCAGTATCAAAAGAAAAGGACAATTTTACATAACCATGGCACCCCCCCTCCTCAAAATCAGGCAGTGTACAATTTTACATAACCATGGCACCCCCCCTCCTCAAAACCTCAGGCAGTGCAGTGTAAAAAAAAAAAAAAAAGAAAGAAAGAAAAGATTCTGTCCTCTTCTAACTAGAAAGAAGTGAGCAGCAGGTTTTACCTCCAGCCCTAACGCCAGCTCCTATGGACCACTGGAGCCCAGCCCTGCCCCTGTGGACTTGGTCTGTTCCCACAGACTCAGGTTCCAGGCATGCCCTCCCACCAGGCCAGCCCTCTTGGACTCAGGCTGCAAGCCCATCCCAACCCCCACAGACTCAGACTTGAGACTTCCCTAGTACGAGGTCAGCCCCTGTGGGCCCAGGCTTCGTGCTATTCCCCAGGGATACAGGTGCTAGGTCCCTTCTCACAAGCCCAGGCTCCAGCCCACCTCAATGGACACGAGCAGGTCCAGGCCCAAACCTGCAACCCCAAAAGCCAGAAATGTTGACTCAAGAACAACGTCATCTTCCTGAGGACTCCAGCAGCAAGCTTGCCCACAGACTACACCAGATGACCTGCCCAGAAGCTCTGTATGACTGATCGGTGAAGGGCTTTCCTAAACAAAGCCAGTCTGAAAAGACGGGGATAAGTCTCTTTCTTCAAACAAGCAATCACTAACACACGGCCAGAAAATCAAGAACAATCAAGGAAACAAATCACCAATAACCAACCTTAAAGAAATGGAGAAAAATCAAAACAATCAAAAACGAAATAGGGTTGGTCATTTAGCTCAGTGGCACCATGCCGGCCTCACAAGTGCAAGGTCCTGAGTTTGATTCCCAGTACCAAAATAAAGAAAGAAAGAAAGAAAGAAAGAACCAGTAACCAACCTTAAAGCAACAGAGATATATGAACAGCCTGACAAATAATTCAAAATAATTGGTTTAAGGAAACTCAATGAACTTGAAGAAAATACAGAGAAATAACAAAATCAGGAAAATAACAAATGACAAAATGATAAATTTAACATTTAAATTTCACATATAATTATTTATAATTATATGGAATAATTATATTAATCCATATAATCTATATATTATTTCTTGTGCATTTCATATATATATATATATACACACACACTCACACACACACACACACACACACGCATACACACACACACAGACAGGGTCTGCCCATAAAACATATACACACTTCAGGAAACGAAAAACTTGCATAAATATTTTAATACTAAATTTATTGATAGGATCACTGTGAGTTCGAGACCAGCCTGAGCTACATAAAGAGTTCCAGGTCAGTCTGAACTACATAGTGAGGCCCTGTCTCAAAAAACAAACAAACAAACAAACCAAACAACAACAACAACAACAAAATGGGCATGGGGGCGCACCTCTGTAATCCCAGCACTCAGGAGGCTGAGGCAGGAAGATCGTTGTGAGTTTGAGACCAGCCTGGGCTACATAGTGAGTTGCAGGTCAGTCTCAATTACATAATGAGACACTGTCTCAAAAAACCAAAATAATAATAATAATAATAATAATAATAAATAAAATTAGAGACATCATGAGATTAATACAAGTTACCTTTGGCCACCACAATTACAAGAGGTGCTCAAAGTGGGGCCCTTTAGCTTCCAGACATTTATTAGCATGGCAAACTGTTGCTTGTGTAACCTTGGTCATAAATTGGTAGCGCATACATTTTTAATTTCTAGGAGCAGGCATGTAGTGAGTGCTCTGTGATATGTGACATTCTCTGGAGTCTCCTTACAAAGGTAACTGCATCTGTTGAAAAAACATACTATTGTATATGTTTTGTTTTGTTTTGTTTTTGTGGACTCTATAGAAAGATTACCCAAACAGAAGAGGCCATCTAAGATGTGTGAATAAAGATACCTACTCCTACCTCTTCTACAAAGAACCAAAGTGGTAAGTACACAGCTACATTTTTAAGTGAATAAGCATGAGAGAACACTGGAAATGAACAAGGAGAGACTGGAAGCTTGTAAAATTCAGAGACCCGGGACAGCAGCACAGTAAGTGAAACAAAATACCCTAATATCTGACACTCCTGCCTCTGCTCTACAGCCAGGGGTAGGAGGATT